CTCCTGTCTCAGCCTCCTGAGTAGCTGGGACTACTGGCGCCCACCACCATGCTCGGCTAATTTTTTTGGGGTTTTTTTTTTGGTATTTTTGTATTTTTAGTAGAGATGTGGTTTCACCGTGTTGGCCAAGTTGGCCTCAAACTCTTGACCTCAAGTGATGCACCTGCCTTGGCCTCCCAAAGTGCTGGGATTACAGGCGTGAGCCACTGTGCCTGGCCCAGGTAAGGTTTCTTTAAGGAGTCCGATGGGTGGGATTTGGATGGGTTGGGGGGTGGGGGCACTGACAAAGGGGAAGGAGCCAGCAAGGCTCAGCTGTGAGCCCTTGAGGAGGCCTTCCAGTTACAGAAAAGCGAGAAGGCTGGAGGGGTAAGTTGGATCCCAGGGGAGAAGCTGAGATTTTTTTTCTTGGGTAAGGGTTACTCTAGAGGTGCTTCTTGACAGGGAGAAATCACACACACACACACACACACACACACACAGACACACTTCAATTTGATCTAAGAGAAGTCAGGTTACAGTGCATGGCCAGGGCAGCTCAGAAGGAAATCCCTAAGGGGAGCCTGTGGGCAGGGGTGGCGCAGGACAGACATGGGGGGCGGGGATTTCCCAGCTGATGAGATTACACAGATGTCAGGAGCCTTTCAGCCTTAGCCAAGGAGCCTTTTGCTCCCTTGCTCCCAACCCTCTCTTTTCAGGGCCTCACTGGGGCCTCCCTAGGGCCCTGGGTCAGGGGATGTGAAATCTGAGGTTTTCCAGGAGCTTGGGCCCTGCAAGGAGGGAAGCTTCTTTACCTGCACTGCCCCAGCCTCTCCCCCAGGCACCCCATTGCAGCCCCAGCTCTATGCCTGCTTCCACTCTTGCCCCCTTTAGCTATTCTCTATACAGTACCCAGAGTCAGCTTTTTCATTAGATCATGTCTTTTCCCTGATTAAAAACTTCAACACCTGATCCTGCTTCTAGACCTCCAGTCTCCTTACCATGCCCTATAAGGCCCTGCCTGGGCTCTCCCCTCCCCATACATCTGCCCTCCCTTCCAGCCACCCTCCCCTCCCTCACTGAGCTCTGGCCACACTGACCTTCTTCCTGTTCCTCATGGAGGCCAAGCCCCTCCAGCGCCCCTCTGCCTGCAGTGCTCCTGCCAAGGCCTTTAGAAGGCCAGCTCCTTTTCCTTATTCCCGTCCTGTCTCAAGCACCACTTTCTCAGAGAAGACTTCCTGGAGTGCCCTATCCCTCCTGCCAGTGAGTCCCTCTTATAGGGCTTCTCAAAGCGTGGTGCTGGATCAGCAGTGTCAGTGTGGCCTGAGAACTTGCTAAAAAATAGAAATTGTTTTGCTTTACCGCAGACCCTCTGAACCAGAAGCTCTGGGACTGAGCGCTGCAATCTATCCCTGAATGAACCTTTCCAGCAATTCTGAGGCATCTAAAGTTTGAGAAGCACTATTCTATCATATCATCAAATGATCACCTTCTGACTCTTCCCATCCTTTGTCATTGTTCCCTTATTTGTGTTATTTATCTGTTTTCACTAAACTGTAAGCTCAATCATGGTAGGGTCTTTGTAATTCTCTTCTAGTGTATCTCCAATATGTTGCACAGTGCTTGGTATTTGATAAGTTTTTTTTTTTAATAAGTGAAAGAAAAAATGGATGGATGGTGGGTGGATGGATGGATGGATGGACAAACTAGGAGAATGAGGAGAAATGCATTAAAGGTAATGCTTTCCTGGATTAAAGGTAATGCATTTTCTCTGGGACCAATTGAGTTTAAGGAGCTGGTGGGACCTCATTGGGCTGATGTAGGTGGCAATGTCCCCCTTCCCACTGCTTATTCCTTATCATCTACTTTACTCCCTGGGAGTGATCTAAATAATACCATGGGGCAGGGTTCCAGGCTGTGGGGACTTGGGAGCTGTCTGTGCTCAGGCAAAGGGGAGAATTCTGAGCTCAGAGAGTCTCAGCCTAGTCAGAGTAGAGGCCAAGTGGTAAGAGCAACACCCCAGTCTCTCACTTGCTAGGAGATGCTGCTTCCTTGGCTGCACAGTGGCACTAGCAGGAGGTAGAGGGAGAAAGCAATCATGAAACTCCTGGAAGAGCATCTTTAGAGGGACGATACAGGCCAGGCACAGTGGCTCATGCATATAATCCAAGCACTTTGGGAGGCTGAGGCCAGAGGATCCCTTGAGCAGCCTGGGCAACATGGTGAAACCCTGTGTCTACAAAAAAAATAAACAAAATTAGCCAGGTTTGGTGGTGCATGCCTGTAGTTCTGGCTATTCAGGAGGCTGAGGCTGGAGGATCACCTGAGCCCAGCAGTTTGAGCCTTCAGTGAGCTGTGATCACACCACTGCACTGCACTTCAGCTTAGGTGGGCAACGGAGCAAGACCCTTTCCCTCTTAAAAAAAAAAAAAAGAGGGAAAGTATAAACAGCCCTTGCATCATACATGGACAAGGGGTTGGGGGAGACAGAGAGAGAAAGAGAAAGAGAGTCTATTGGGGAGAAGTATAGCATAGTTCTTTTAATAGAATGGGGCTAATAAAGGCAGCGATGCAATGCCTGCCTCCTTTTTCCCCAATGTCTCCTAGCTCCTCTGGAGACTTCTGCTCCCTGACCAGAATGACAGTGGTGACCCTCAGCAGTACCCTGCTGCTCACCAGAGGGTGAGGCATAGACTGGTGGATGACAGGGGTGAGTGTGCCAGGCCACTGGGGGAGGAAAGCCGGCTCCCTGAGCAACATGTTCCTCCCCACCCCCCAGCCCTGCTCTGTTGGCTTGGGGAGGGGAACAGAGATGCCCTGCTGGGTCAGAGGGGGAGGAGCAGGGCCTGAACAGTCCAGTCTGGGATCCAGCCAGGGGAGCGCTGCTGGCTGAGAAAGAGGAGAGGAGCTGGAGATACTTATCTGGTCCTGCCCACAGAAAGCCCAGGCCCAGGGGGCCTAGCTCCGCCCCTGGCATTCAAGGTCCTGTCTTGCTCACCAGCTCTTGGTCGCCTCACATCTGTCACTGTAGCCAGGCTGGCTCCTAAGTGCCCACCCACCATGCTCCATGCTTTTCACTTCCAGCCTTTGTTGATGATAGCTCACCCCTGCCACCAGCTGCTCTTATCGCTCTGTCCTGCTACACTGGAGATTTCTGGAAGGTGAAGATGGAGCCTGATCTCTCTCTAGGTCCCCTGCAACACCTCCCCAGGGCTGGTATAGAACTGGTGCTCCTTGAAGCGGCACTAAGCAACTACATAAGCTTAGGTCTCCCCATCCCTGAGGGAGCTCCCTCCCTACCCTTAACCCTCCTCTTCTGAACATTTGCTGCGCTGCCTTCTTTCCCCTCCTTCTGCACTGAAGCCCTGAATGCTGTCTACCCACTTGGGAACTGACTCCTGGAAGCCCAGCACAGAGCTTGTCACACAATGGACTGGTGGATGGAAGATGTACTCTTCCATTCTGCCCCACCCCTCAGAAGTACACACAAATGGATCTGGAGAAAGGCAGAGTCCATGGGAGGAAGAGGCCAGTTCAATCCCCTGCCTTGCCCACCTGGGGCTAGCAGACCACACACATGCCCTTTCCTGCTGCCAGGGCCTTATCTCCCTCCTCTGACCCATCTCCGACCCTGGAGCCCTGCAGGATTGGCCTGGGGAGAGGCCAAGGGCAGGTGAGGAAGAGTGTATGGGTTCCCAGGTGGCCTGCCACCTCCCTGTGACTCCCATCTCTTGAATTTCCCCACTCATACTGGCTCTGCCTCCTTCTGCTGAGTTCCCACTGTCCCCTACCCCCACCCTTCCCAACTGACGCCAGTGGCTGGGCCCCGCCCCACCTTCGATGGGGGAGTTGATGAGGATGACGCGTCCCATGGGTGATGAGGCTCGGATTCCACGGGGGGGCCCGTTTAGCAACCGCTGCTGCTTCTTTAGCAGGTATCGCGTTGCGGTGGAGCCTGAGTCCCTGCCTAGGTGGCCTCGAGAGGAGAGGGAGCTCAGAGAGCCAGAGCTTAGATCTCCTAGGCCCAGTGGGTCGAAGCCCACTGCGAAACCGTGCGCCATGGTGGCTGGGCTGGGGTGGCACCCTACGGGTCCAGAAGGAATCTGCTAGCCCTGGAGAGGACAGCCCCGCGTGCTTCGAGCTCCATGAGCCTCTGTGCCAGGCTGGGGTCTAAGCAACGTGGAGGCCCTCGCTTACGCTGCCTCTCAGAAGTGTGAGCTCCAGGCCTGGACAGGGAAAGCAAGGACAAGGGAGGGGTGTAAATGTTTCCCCTGCTGCCCCCAGAACTTCCACCCCTCCCGGCTGGTTTAAGCATCCTGCCCTCCCATGCCTTAGGCTCCCCTCCTGTCTCACCCCAGGCCAGAGAACTGCCCTGTCCAGGCACCATTGTGGACTGTCGCTGACTATACAAGGCCCGTGGGAACTTTTCATCCCTCATTCCTGCTCGCAGCTGAGTTATCTACTCTCGTCCCCAGTCCTCAGTAGAGGTTGAGAGTGGAGTTGGGATTACTGCGGGCCCTTGGGCTTCAAGCGGCGTGAGACAAAAGAGGTCCAGACAGTTCATGGCATCACCTCTCTCATGCATATGTAGGCATGGGGGTGTCCTGAGGTGGTGGGGGTGAGGGGGGCGTGGACCTTAGCTGCGGCCGAGGAGGCCCCCCCCCAGACACCCCTGGGCTCCAGGCTGCGACTCTGGGTCTAAAGAGGTTGTATAGACCTCTCCCAAGCTTGCGGGGAGGATCTGCTGGAGAGGGGTCCCATCACATCCCGGGCAAAACCTGGGGCCAATTCCCTCAGAGAAGCTCTGCGACCCAGAATGCAGCACCCCAACCCCAACTCAGCCCTTCAGGCCCGCCACCCCTTTGTGTCTGGCCCCCCCTCACCTGGTCGCTGGTACGCCGCCGCTTGCCTTGCAGGCAGGACCACCCGCAGGCGAGAGCTGCTGCTACAGCCAGCAAGCCCGCCCACTCTCCGCGGAGGCTGCGGGAATTGGGCTGGCCTGCGCCGCCCCGGGCTCCTATTGGCTGGTAGGGCGGCCAGTCACTCCCTCCCGGCACCTCCCATGGGCACTGGGTACAGCCGAGCGTTACCTGGTCCCCGGCAGCAGAGTTCTCTACCCGCCCCAGTTCTGGTTCTAACGTCCCATCCCATCCTGCAAATTTAGGGCTTGGGTCTTGGCTTGTTCCCCTCCTGCCAGAACTACCTCTTCTCCGAGCCGAGCCAAGCCAGCTAACTGGGCTCCTGGAATTGCCACTCCTCTGCGGGCATCCTTGAGGTCTCCATGGGGGGATGTCACGGGGCAGAGCGGGACGTGAGCCTGCATTTGCTGCAGGCATGCTCTGTGTGGTGGCTGGGTAAGTTGTGAGTGTGTGCGTGGCTGAGGGGAGCTTTCTTCACTTGCATCCTCCTCTGTCAGAAGGTGTCTCTGGCCTCCCGGTTCTGGAACAGTCGCAGGATGGGGCGGTTGGTCCCAGGACAGGAAGAGTCCTAAGAATCCTTCTGATGCACTCGCTCGGATGCAGACCACAGGGTTACTGGGGTTGTCTGCCCCTCCACATCCCAGGGGTGGGGCTACTGTCTGGGGTACAGGGCTAAGGGTTGGGAGCGTAAGGAGACCAGGGACACAGTGGAGCTAGGGTCCAGAGAGGGGGAGCAGGGAGAGGGCTGGGGACATAGAAGGGGCACAGGCACGCCAGGAACGGGGCTCTGAAGTGATGCGAATGCCGAATGCCATGCTGCTGCAAGAAGAGCTTGTGGGTACCGGGGTAGGAGCCGAGTGGGGCAAGCAGGCAGAGGCCATTGCCAAGGCAGCCATCAAGTAAACAAGCCAGGCGGTAACCCGAGTCCCTCCGCACGCACCAGCAGAGGACTGCCCCTCCATGCCGCCCACCTGTGCCCTGGGCTTTCTCTCTGGACACCTAGATCCCTGGCTTCAGGGCTGGGGCCTCCCTAAGCCCGCCAGGGGACTGTAAGCAAAGGGAACAGCGCCCACGGCTCTACCCATTCCTCTCTCTGGCTGGGGAGGGGGCCAGAACTGATCCCCGAGGTATGATTGGCTCTAGAAAGCGGCTTAGGGCCTGGTCTCGGTGGCCCGGACTTGGGGCATCGCCTCAAATGACACCCACCGCCCCCAGGCTCTGCCAATCCCCGGGCCCACCGCTTGGGCGCCGCGGGGAAGCTCCCGCCCCTCCCTGCTGATCGGCGTCAGGCGTGACGTCCCGTGTGACGGCTGGGAGGGCCGGGCGGAGGCAGCGGAGACAGCCGAGGCAGAGAGGAAGGCGGTTCTGAGAGCTTCAGAGAGCCCTGGAAAGCGTGAGTGCTCGCTGTCCCAGGCTGGCGGGGTTACAGAATGGGGGTCAGAGAAGAGGGCCTGCCTTGAAACTCTCCCGGTGCAGTCAGTGTCTGCCTCTATGCAGGTCCACAGGGCACAAGGGAGGTTGGCGGAGGAATGTCAGGGTGGGGCTGTGTGTAGCCACACATTCAAGTGTCTTCAGATGGGCCCCGTGTGTGCCTGTAACGGTCTTTGAGGACTGATGTATACAGGGCATCTCCGTGCTGTCTGTATGTCTGGGTAGGGCGTGCATGATGGTATCATTGTGTATGGGTATGTGAGTGTGAGGGGAGGGCGTGTCTGCCTCTGTGGGAGGAAGTGTGGCTGGAGAGGATTAGTCATTCTGTAGGATTCTGCCCAACTCGGCCAGATGGCTGCGCCAGGCTTTCCTCTCTGTGCTGGGTGGAGGGGACCACCAATGAATCCTGCTCTTATCCAGAGGCGGGTGGCTCAGAGAGAGGTGGATGAGTGTCTGTGCCAGCTCTGCTTGGCCAGGGACCACGGAGAGCCTGGGGTCATTCAGCGTGAGTTGGAGAAAATGGGTCTGTCGAGGGGACTTGTACGTGCCCACATGCACACACAGGCTGACATCAGAGTCCCCTGATTGAGATCTGGAACAGGTAAGCTCTGGGTGGCCAGTAAGGCCTTGCTCTCCTCCAGTCAGGGACTGGAGCGTGGGACGTCTTATGCCATCTTTCGAAAAAGCCTTGGGGGTTTGTATCCAGGTCTCAGGGCAGCTGGGGCCTAAAGCTAACCTGAGCATGGGTGTGTAATGTATACATTATATATTTTTGTATACCTGCAGCACACGTAGCTGGGATGTCTGTTGCTGTTCATGTGTCTACCATATACATGTAGATCCTCACTCATGAAAATCTGTACCAGGGCAGAGCACAAGGAGATCTGTTTTCCTGTTTCTGGTCTTCCCCTCCCCCTCCTCCAGCAGCTACAAGTCCCTTAGCCAGGACATTGTCCAGGAAACAGCTCCTCCCCACATTCTTGCTTACCTATCTAGAGTCACCTTGAGCTCTTGAAGGGACTGATGATAAGCTTAGGGGCCAGGGCAGGGGCACCAAAGCTTCCCCTAGCTGGAGCCCTTGGACCCTTGGACCCCCACTCTGACCCTTGTTTCTGTCCTGCAGAAAATGGGTGAACTGCCTGTAGACATCAACATCCAGGAACCTCGCTGGGACCAAAGTACTTTCCTGGGCAGAGCCCGGCACTTTTTTACTGTTACTGATCCTCGAAATCTGCTGCTGTCTGGGGCACAGCTGGAAGCTTCTCGGAACATTGTGCAGAACTACAGGTGAACCCCCCACCATCTGACCCTGTGTGCCAGGATCTCATTTTCTGTGATTAGTATGTTTGTTACCTGCCTCCTCAAGCCTAACAGTGAGCCTGTCCCTCAATCCCCCTCACTCTCTGGCCCCCTCTGCTGGCATCACAGATAACTGAGGTACAGAGCTTTAACTCAAAGGATTTTAGGTCATTTAGATTGAGAAGATGGCATTAATATTTATGGGAGAGGGTGCTCTATGTTTCACAAACCTCTACAGGGACCTATCCCATTGCTGGGCCACCTGCTGCAAGAATAGAGGTGCTCAAAGTGGAATCCCAGGAAGATAGGAGAGAATCCTCCTTATCTTTGGGAGGAAAAATTCTTGCAATGCTCACTGCCATTTTTGACCCACTGGAAACCACCATCACCCATGGCCCAGCATTTTGGCAGAAACAGAAGAGTACCCCTCTTTGTGTAGCTAGAAGGGAAATAGAAATAGGAGCCTCCACTTCTGGGAAACTTTGGCCCTCCTCTAAAGACAAGGAACTCACTTATGCTGAGATTGGAGGCTGAAGTTCCTGGTTCTCTGTCCAGAGCTACCCTGAGCTAGGCAGGTGGGGCCTGGGAGGACAGGTCTGCCTCCTGACATAGCGTGCCTGCTCCTTGCCAACTTCTGCAGGGCCGGTGTGGTGACCCCAGGGATCACTGAGGACCAGCTGTGGAGGGCCAAGTATGTGTATGACTCCGCCTTCCATCCGGACACAGGGGAGAAGGTGGTCCTGATTGGCCGCATGTCAGCCCAGGTGCCCATGAACATGACCATCACCGGCTGCATGCTCACCTTCTACAGGCAGGTCTCATCACATGTCCCCTTTCTGAATGCCCTGAGCTAGAGCATGGCACCTGAGTTAGGTGCTTCTTGTCTGGGCCAACTGGGGCAGAGTAGTGGGTGAATGACAGGTTGTGTTAGAATCCCTTGCATTCATCAGAACTCAGCCTCAGGAGTTTTCTCGCCCCAGAGACAGTAGGTGTGTTTGTGTAAGTGGAGGGGGTGGGGCACACAGCAGTTACCAGAACTGGTTCCAGGGCCATCAACTGAGTCCTTCTTAGGCTTGGAGAATAACCTTTGGTTTCATTATGGGGGCCCAAAGATGAGGGCCACTGTAGAGGGGGCAGAAGTGAGTGTCTTTGTTCCCTCAGGAAGACCCCAACTGTGGTGTTCTGGCAGTGGGTGAACCAGTCCTTCAATGCCATCGTTAACTACTCCAACCGCAGTGGCGACGCTCCCATCACCATGGGGTGAGAGTCAGCTCCCAGCAGAAGCTGCATGGTCCTGTCCGACCCCCTTCTTCCAGTCCACCAGTGCCTTCCCCTTTCTCTCCCGTTCCCCTGTGGTTCATGCAGCCAGTGCTCAGTGCCCTCTCCTCAGCCTGCCCTGCCTCAACTTACCCTGCCTAGCTGAAGGCATGAGGTCTTCTTATGTATGCTGTGGGGGACCCAGCCCTCTTCAAAGGGTGTGACCGGGGCTTCCAGACAAGTTCACGCTGGAGATGGAGGGAGCGCTTGCTCTGAGATGAGCTTCCCCTTCTACGCCTCATGTTTTCCTAAAGGAAAGGGCTGCATGCTGGACTCCTTACCTCTCTCCTGTGACCTGGCTCTTCTACCCACAGGCAGCTGGGGACAGCCTATGTGAGTGCCACCACTGGAGCTGTGGCCACGGCCCTGGGACTCAAATCCCTCACCAAGGTAAAGGCCCCCACTCCCCTGGCCCCCCATTCATCCTCTATCTGCCTCCTCCTTCCTCATCACACCTCCAGTCCTGACCTATATGTCCCCATATCTCCCCAGAGTCCCTCACCACCCCATGGCCCTCTGGGCCACTGAACAACACCCTTCCTCCCCAGCACCTGCCCCCCTTGGTCGGCAGATTTGTGCCCTTTGCAGCAGTGGCAGCTGCCAACTGCATCAACATCCCCCTGATGAGGCAGAGGTGAGTGGCTCCGGCTCCTGGCATACGCATGCCCAGTATAATGTAGCACACTGCTCAGCCATGCAGACTGACTCAGAATGGGGATGTCCCTCTCCCTCCCTAGACATGAGCTGCTGGGTCCTGGCTCAGTCTGACCCTGGGATCCTCAGGTCAGAGAACCAGCCTTTGAGTCTGGGGTGTGTGTGGGACGCTGTGAAGGTGCTGCCCATTCGGGTATTACAGACGGGATCCAGGGCCTGTGATCTGATGCCAACCCCCTTCCTTTTGCAGGGAGCTGCAGGTGGGCATCCCGGTGACTGACGAGGCAGGTCAGAGGCTTGGCTACTCTGTGACCGCAGCCAAGCAGGGAATCTTCCAGGTGGTGATTTCAAGAATCTGCATGGCGATTCCTGCCATGGGTAAGGAGGGAGTGGCTGGGTGGGGCACGGGAGGCTCTGAGAGAAGCGGGTACAGTCAAGGGCTTTGGAGGACTCTGGGGAGAGTGGGAGGAGATGTGAGGGGTCGCCCTTCACAGTTCCTGACTTTGACTCCACTAACTCTCTCCTTGGCCCTGCTCTTCCCACAGCCATCCCCCCACTGATAATGGACACTCTGGAGAAGAAAGACTTTCTGAAGGTAGGCGACTCTACCTTTCCTGTCCTGGAAGTGGCGGTGGCTGGAAGAAGAAGTGACCAGTCCCCAACCCTCTCTCCAGCCTGGCCTGACTCTCTAAGACTTGCCAGCCCTTCTCCTGAGCCCTGAACCTCCCCCTCCACCTTCATTCATTCCGCAAGAGTGAACCGGGCTGAGGTGAAGGAACACTTCGGGGGCAGGAGGAGAGGAAAGGACAAGGGAAGGAAACCAACTTCCCCAGTGTTACTTCAAAGGCTTCTGACACACACAGGAGGAGACTGTCACAGCCACACTGGATCTCATGCTCATTCTCTCACCCCCAAGTTCCTCCGTACTGAGAGGTACACACAGCCACATAGGCACACACAGACATGAACAGGACACAGAAGCAAAGCACAGGAACAAGCTCTGCCTCATTCATGGAATTATTTATTTACAAATGGACTGAGCGCCAACTCTGCACCAGGCATGTTTTAGGGCTGAGGAGACAGCACTGAACAAGATGATTATGGCCCCTGTCCTCATGAAGTTTGTAGTCTGACACGGAAACAAGTAAACAAGGAGGCATCCAATAAATACATTCCTTTTTATTTTATTTTTTTGAGACTCAGGCTCACTCTGTCACTAGGCTGGAGTGCAGTGGTGTGATCTCGGCTCAGTGCAACCTCCACCTCCTGGGTACAAGCAATTCTCCTGCCTCAGCCTCCCAAGTAGCTGGGACAACAGGCGTGCACCATGCCCGGCTTTTTTTTTTATATATTTTAGTAGAAAGAGGGTTTCACCACGTTGGCCAGGACGGTCTCGAACTCCTGACTTTGTAATCCAACCGCCTCGGCCTCCCAAGGTGCTGGGATTACAGGCATGAGCCATCACCACCCAGCCAATACATTCTTGGAAATTATAATACGTGCTTTGTAGGAAAGCAGTGGGGCAGTGTAATTGAGATTCATGGGGGGGAGCTGTGTAGATAGGATGGTCTACACAGAGAAGGGGTCTGTAAAGCCCAAAGGATGAGAAAGAGAGAGCCAAAGAACACAGAGAAGAGTTTGGGGTAGAGGAAACAGTCAGTGTAGGGGCACTGCAGCAGGAGGGTTTGCACATTTGAGGAACAGACTGGTGGTCCCTGTGGCCAGAGCAAATTGAGAAGAGTGCCGAGGGGGAGATGTGCTTGGAAAGGGTCAGATTCATGCCACTGGGGTGGACAGAAGTGAGTGGAGGTTCAGAGGAGGTTTCCTGAAGAAATCAGCTCCTGGAGAAAGTGAGGGAAGAAAAAAGAGGGCCAAGGAGTGCCATGGCAACCAGTTCTGAGAGGCGAGAATGTGTCATGGGGTGGCAGGGAGGGTGATCAGCAGACAGGCCTGGCTGGAGTGGAAGGGTGCGATCTGGAGGTCCCAGCCCTGTCATCTCCTTGGAGGAAAGAAAAGGGCCACAGTTCCAAGGGCCCCGGGGAAAGGCTAATGGGATAGAGCCATGGCCAGTGAAATGTGTGATAGTTAGTGAGGCAGGGGACACGAGCCATTTCATTATCTCTCTTTCTCTCCACAGCGCCGCCCCTGGCTGGGGGCACCACTGCAGGTGGGACTGGTAGGCTTCTGGTAAGTGTGCAAGGAGTTAGCTGGGGTATGTGGGAGTGCCTTGTGCCTGGTAGATGTGGGTGGGTATGGATTGCCTTTAAGATGTTTATAGACAGCTGGACGCTGTGGCTTACGCCTGTAATCCCAGCACTTTGGGAGGCCAAGGCAGGTGGACCATCTGAGGTCAGGAGTTCAAGACCAGCCTGACCAACATGGAGAAACCCTGTCTCTACTAAAAAAATACAAAATTAGCCAGGCATGGTGGCACATGCCTGTAATCCCAGCTACTTGAGAGGCTGAGGCAGGAGAATCACTTGAACCCGGGAGGCGGAGGTTGTGGTGAGCCAATATCATGCCATTGCATTCCAGCCTGAGCAACAAGAGTGAAACTCCGTCTAAAAAAAAAAAAGATGTTTATAGACATCATCCATTCATACATTCAGTAAGTGTGTGTCTTGGACACCTACTGAATGTGTTAGGGGGTGATCCTTGTCCTTGAAGTGTGTTAGGGGGTGGTCCCTGTCCTTGAAGGTCAAGCATTTAGTTGAGGGAGTTCCAGTCTTCACCTATAAGAGGAAACCATGGAAATGTACCTTTTGGTGCCATCCAGCAGTTTCATGCTAATTTAATTCCTGATTCTGCCACTTACTGGCTGTGGGGGTCTCTTTCCTTAGAACCTGATGTCCAGGTTGGGTTTACTATTCCTAAAAGGTCCTTTCAGCTTTAATCAATCTCCATCCCTAGGGGCTATCTCCAAGGATGGGGCAGGGTGCAGGGAGGGAACACCCTAAGGCCAAAGCTTTACAAACCTTTCAACACTCGTCTCCCCCAGCCTAGTATTTGCGACCCCCCTGTGCTGTGCCCTATTCCCCCAGAAGAGGTAAGTGCTGTTCCTGGGCCGGGCGGGGGGCTCTGGGTTGGACTCTGCATCTCTGGACCAGCTGACCTAGCATCTTCCAGTGTGTTCAGGAAGGAGGCCTGGCAGGCACTCCACTGATTCTGGGAGTGGGGGAATGACAGTGAGCCAGTCCTTCTGGCAGTAGAAAGGAGAGAGGATTCTTCAGCCTGGGAGGAGGTGGGATGGCAATCCCTGGGCCTGAGTGGCGTTGGGTTCAGGGGACATTAACTGGACTGTGCTGTTCTGTTGCAGCTCCATACACGTGAGCAAGCTGGAACCAGAGCTGAGAGCTCAGATCCATGAGCAAAACCCCAGCGTTGAAGTGGTCTACTACAACAAGGGGCTTTGAGGAGGGTCAGCCTCTGTCCCCTCCCTCACCTCCTTGGGCTATTGCTTTAGTGGAGTCATGTCACCCCTGCCACTTGCCTATCTGCCTGGCACTGGGCAGGGGCCTTGGTGGGCAGATGGCCATTGAGGGTAGCTATCTATTAGGCTGGGGAAGATACCTCCATAAGGCTTTTCCTCCCCTCTCTGGTTGCAAAGAGCAGAGCACATAACCCCTCCTTCCTGTGCTTGAGTGTCCACGCATATAATACATGATACATGTGTGTATGTGGACGTTGGGTCCTAAAAGCTAAGAGCAGGCATGCTATCCTGGTATGTTCTGACATCTGACTTCCTTCTCAGCCTCACGTCCACCTGCCTGCCAGCCAGCCTACAGGTGGGACTTCCTTCTCTAAACTCTTATACCAGCCAAGTTCTTTTTGGTGGTACCTCATCCCTTCTAGACATAGTAGGAGCCCCAGGACCTCAGGACAGAGACTTGGAGACATTAGCAGGCCAAAGTGGGCTGAATCCTTCAGGTTTCTGATACCTAGCTCCCCAAACCAACTGGGCTGGCAGAGGAAGACATGTTGGGATAAGGGAGGCAGGGGACTTAGGCATTCCTTAGTGCTATCGCCTGTATCCTGGAACAACTCCATTTCCCCTCCTCCTCTCTACCGGACAAAGGAGCGCCTGCGTCCTGTACTGCCCTTGCTGTCTCCCCCACCACCCCACCCTGCAGCATGGGCATCTTCAAGGGCAGTCTTGGGAGCTCCTGGTGTGTTCTGACATCATGACCTCAAATCTAAATCCTATAATCCCAACTCCCTTCCCCAGCCAAAAAGGCACAAAGGCAGAGCAAGCATTCCCCTTTAAGAGCTCCTACTGCACCCCTCCTGAAGGACACAGCTATAGGAATGGTGCTTAAACTCCATAGGTATCAGAGAGGGTGTAACTACCACATCCTCAAAGGCAACTACGCCCCAAATGTACAATGTTAAGACAGGGAATTTTGTGTTCCATTGTCTCGTCTTTTTTTTTTTTTTTTTTTTTTTT